CAATCTTCTGTGGGCGTGACGTGATACATTTCAGGTCCGTTCTGACAATATTCCATTATAAGGTAATCTTGTAGCTCTCGTTCCTAATTCTTTCGCTACACTTCTCGTTTTCTTTCATTCCCAAGCTATGAATAATAATTACTTTGTCATATGTTTGACTTTACAAATCGTTATCGAATGAAGAATTTTCTGCAACTCGTGCCGTTCTCTACCTTTGTAATTAGATTTATGAAAGAAAATTCGCAGTTTTCTCTCTTGAATGAATAATTTGACAGTAAGTAAGGAAGAGACTGTGATAAATTTTTGTTTATATTCAGATTTATTTTTAAAAATATATATTTTGGGTTTCAGTGCTGTTTTGGATTGATGCATATGAAGATTATCAATGGCATCTGGTGACCATATAGCTTCTCGAATGATGTGGATGCATTTTCTTGTAACCTTAGTACCTGATCTTGAAATAAATCCTCATATAAAGTTGATTATCCTCATTAACATGATTCAAATCCAGTGGCTGGATTCTGATGATACACAAGGAACCAAACCATAGTCACAGTACATCAATTAGTGTCAAGTTTCTAGTGCTCTTTTAGGGCAGGAATGATATTCATGAACTTCAATGTGAGATATCATAAAAATTAATCTAAGTCTAATGGATGGTGTCCTGATTAGCCCTAAAAACTGACTCTAGATTCTCAAAAAATTTATCTGGCTGATCAGGATGTCAAATTCATTTAATTATCATCGCATCCCATTCAAAATATTTCTAACTCCTACTAGCTATGTCTATTCTTACTCCAGAACTAAGTTTATCTTTAAATTAATGAACTGAGTGGAAACAAGACTTTAATTATCAATAATCTACATAGCCCACCCACATACATCAGTCAGTGCTTAAAATAGAAAACTCTATAAAGTTAATAAACTTCATATCCTACATAACATAGCATATCTCTTTCCAATGTGAAATAAAACTGCCACAAGCACCTATTAAATATTTTATTTCACATCCACAGTCATACACAGATGTAACAATTTGCGATGAAACAGAATTTAAGTAAATCTCACATCTCTTTGTCAGACATGTATTATTTTTTGTATAATGAGTAGATCAATTACATCGAAAGTTTAAAATATACAGTGATGATATGCAGCACATAAGGTGAAAAAGTGATTTCATTCCTTTGTTCTTAATTTAAGAGATTTTATTGGAAATGTAACAAGTCAAATTCAGTCATCGTGTAACAGGTGGGAGGATGTTTGATGAATGATTAAGGAACAGCTTGTATTCGTCTAGGACGTCATTAAATTGTATGAGTTTTCGATTTATCTATTTTTGGGAATTAGTGGCGCTATGAGAACAGTTTTGTAAGTTTTTGGGTTTGGGATGTTAAGGTACCTAGCTACCTAGCTCTACAAATAATCCATTTCAATTCTAAACCTTAAAATCTCAGAACAAACTAAATTAAATACAGTTCCTCATAATTAAATCTGATGATTTTTCTGACATTTTCCATCTTTACAGTTTATTAGAAGCCACAGGCGTCATAAATTTCCTAACCTATCCACACACTTTCCTGTCTAGAAAAATAAATAAACATTCATAATTTGAGTTAAAGAAGACATTTTCAAGTTGCATCTATGGAATTACTTTTGAAATTGTCATAGTCAATTAGCAGAGTGTAGGATTAATTTTCATCATGAGGAAAGAAAAATTCTTGTAATTTATTCATGGATGATTAAGAACTTCTAGGTGGATCTAGTGATGATCTAGTTTATAGCCGTTAGAATAGAAAACACCTTACATATGAACCTTGTAACTAATGAACTAGATGTGTCAAAGTCGCTAATTCAACAAGTCGTTTAGTACTAATTAGAATGCCAACATAGCTGGGTTCTGGTTCTAATGAATTCTCAGTGATGTTAATAGATTCAGTTTTCAAATCTAGGTATCTTAACATTAAGGCTCTCTATTCGATGTTCTGTGCACTTGAAGTTTTACTTTTTTGGTCCATTCTGGCAATATTCCATTTGTAAGATATTCTTGTGGCTCTCGTTTTACATATATCTCCCGTTACACTTCAAGTTTCTGACCCGTTTATTAATTCAACGTTGTTTAGAGACTCAATTATAGCTCGATCTAGTAAATAATGCAGTTGAAGTACCTTAACTTTCGAAAAAGTAAAAGTTTGGAAATGGCTGGATTCGAACCGGTGACTTCCGTGTTCAATACAAATTTGAGCCAAGCTCATTACCTTTTCGACCAACAAGGTACTTAAATGATTTTAAATAAGCTAGCTTTAAAGCTACAAAACAAAAACAAGAAGTGTTTAGCATGGAAGTAAACTCAAGTGCTCAAACTACATCATCACTCAGCAGGAAGAAAAATATCAAACCATGCATCAAACACTTCTTCCATATTTTCTCAAATTCCCGCCTGTACATTTCATTATAAATGCATCAGTTGTTAATTCTTCATGCCATTTCTATCTGCAAATCTCGAAAAAAAAATAATACAGACTCGCGGACAAAAATTAATGACAATTTTTTAATTTTGTAGATTTTTTTTTTAAAATTAATTAACGAATGCATCTCTGGATCATCGAGCGAGCAAATATTTATTTGCGCAAATGAAATGAGGGAAAAAAATAATAATTTTTTGGCATCAAAAATTTGTGATTCGATCGAGTTGCACAAATATTTTTTTAAATGACAATTTTCATTTCATTTCATGTTGCATTACAAGAGTGGGAAAATTGAATCAATGGGTGGACAATTCGCAATTAAGTTTGTATGTTGAGTAATTGGGTTTTTTAATACGAAGAACATTGACTAAAAGAGATTTGGAGAGGTTTAGGTGAATTTTAAGAGTAAGAGCTGATTGAGTGATTTTGAATGGATATGTTGATGACTGGCAATTGACAGACAACAGCCAGTAAAAGAGCTGGTTTTAGGGGATGACTGACGTATTTCGATGATGGATTGGTTAAGTACTCCGGTCATGGGTTCGGAATAGGTATGAGAAGTTTTCTCCCATTTTAAATTACAGTCATTAATGTCATTAAAGGGTTGGTTCGGGTCCCACTATAAGTTATAGGTCTAGTTTTGAGTGCATATGACGCACAGTTTTGGATCTAAAAGTCTAAAAGCTTATCATATTTTCAAATGAAAGTCTCTTAGTCATTCAACTAGATTATTTCAAACATTTTTAAATAAAAAAATTGTTCAATTCTATTGCATTAAAGATCGTTTGAGACGAGTTTCTGGTAATCACAAGGGAGCCGTTCACAAGTTACGTAACCAGGGGCGTAGCCAGGGGGGGGGCCATAGGGGGCCCTGGCCCCCCCTACGAAAATCTGACAATTGTTTTATTAAGTATTTATAGAGAAGAACCAGTTAATGTAGAGGAAGTGATGAAAGAAATGTCAAAATCAGCACGAAAAATTAAATTTAATGTATGAATAATGAATTAAATATTTAAACTTATGAAGAATGAATATAGATTTAAGGATACAAAATAACAATTTTTTTAATTTTCGAAAATGGGCCCCCCCTTAAAAAATTTCTGGCTACGCCCCTGTACGTAACCCAAAAAACAGGATTTTAAGAAGCCCTTTTCTTTTTCACCAATCTTCTGAGTTAAATTCGTTTATGGAACTGTCACAAAATCTCACTCTCCTCTCGGCTAAAAGTGTTACGTAATTAAAGAACGATTCCTAGTCAGCAGACCTAAAGTCAATAAAGAAAACGTAAGACATTTCAAAACATTTTCAATCCCACACGTGCTTCATTTTCATTCAATTTTCCCAATAAGTGGTCATCCCTATGCGACAGAATTTATTTCGTATTTTCGATGAATTAGAAAAAAATCAAATTTATTACAAGAAAAGAAATTGACTTTACAGCAAAACAAGAAATATGTAAGAAGAAAAAGAAATAAACAAAAATCATGCTAAAAATAATGAATAAACGAACGAAAATTCATCAAAATCGCCTCATTCAGTGGTAAACTCGCGTCGAGATCACATGGAAAGTAGAAAAAGATTCAAAAACGCGCGATTTTCTCAAAAGAGTCATCAAATAAGTGTGTATGGCATACACATGTGTGTGAATAGGTGAAAAAGTGAATGATCGAGTAGAATGGGATTTCGTAGACATTTTTCATCAATGCGTCACCGACAAAACAAAACACAAAAGTGAAATTGACTGACGAAAATTTATTTTCAACGATCAGTGTGTAATAAAGTGAAACGTAAAGAAAAAAAAAGTCATAAAAACGCAATAAATGAATGTGAGAATTTCATGTTCCTTAAAAAATATTTATATGAAGAACAAATATGAAATTTTAATAAAAGAAGGAAGGAAAGAAAATTATTTATAGAAGTGAAAAGAGACGGAAGAGAAATAAGAAATAAAATATTGTGTTTATTCGTGGAATTCCAACAAGTTTGAGAATTTCTTCTGCATTTTCTTTATCATACGAAATAAAACAAAATAAAGTATGAATTTTATATTCAGTTTTGTGGCTGTTTGAAGTGCTTTTTTCTGGAGATATTTAATTGTTGAAGATACAAATTTTTTTTTGAATTCTAATATTTTATTAAAAATATTCAAGAAAATTCCTGAATTAGGGAAAAGTGATTGTCTCGATTTGGGTTCTTAAGATTTGTTTAAAAATATCAAATTTTTAAAAAAATGGGAGCTGTAAAAATTCATCTTATTTAAAAATAATTTCAAAGTAGTCAAAAAAACTTGAAGAATTTCAAAAAAAATCAAAAAATTGGAGATTATTTGAAATTGAAGAATATCAACAATTAGATAAATTCTAAAAAATTGAAGAATTTCAAAAAATTGAAGAATTTTAAAAAATTTCAAAAAATTGAAGAATTTCATGAAAATACAAAAATGTAAAAATTTCAAAAATAATCATAAAACTTGAGTGTTTTTTTAAAAAAATTAAAGAATTTTAATTTCTTTTAAACAAAACAAATCAAACCCAGACACCCAAAAGCAATTTTCAGCACCTCATTAAATTTCTCCAGAAGTAAAACAGTTCAAAAAGTCGAATTAAAAACGAAAAAAATTTCTCCTCATCGTGAATGGATTGCATTTTTAAAGAAAACAAGAAAAAGTGTAAGAACAAAAAGAAAAACAGAAATGAAGAATTTTATATTCTTTTACTATGTGAGCCTTTGTTGCATCTCGCAACTGTAGAAATAATTGTGAAACAAATAAAGAAGAAAGAAGGAACACATTTCAATTGAGGAAGATTTAAGACCAAAGAAATTCCAGAACAAGAGGAAGTTTTATTAAAAAATTCATAAGAAAAAGTAAGTTTGAATTACGATTTAAACTTATTAAACATTTAAGGAAGTTAATTCAATATTTTCTGAATTTAGATTCTGAAATTTTGAATCAAAATTTATCCTTAATCAGCGAGATAATTCCTCAACTCAATCAAACTCAATATTCAAGTAATTCCTCAATTCTTGTTAAACTTGAGAGTGCCTGTTAACTTAATTAAATGCCTTTCAAATCAATATTCAATAATATCAAAGCCAAATAATTTACTATTCTTCATTGATTCCACAACTTTATCGTAACAGCATCAAAATCATAATAGTTTGCTGAGTTTTAAGAACCCTGCATGTGCTCTATTGGTAACAAAAATATTAATTTAAAATTTTCCATTCACTCAGCACTTCCGCTTCTACTTTATTTCATGTAAATAGCTTAAAAGTTTTTTAATCAAATTAAAATATTAAGGAAATTGCTGTCATGAGACTGGAAGTAAATAATTATAATTTTGTAGCAGATTATTGATCGAAACAGGAAGTCTGATTGGATTTTATAATTTTCCATTGCCAATTTTTTATTTTTTAAGGAACTCCAATCATAAATCATGACAAAAAGTTTTCGAAAAAAAGGAAATTGAAATTAATATCGGGGAAATGAGTTTTTTTAAGATATTGAAAAATGAGGAACTGGATCGAGGGTTGTGATGAATTACTCCTTTGATCTTAGAGTTTGGAAAGGAAATACTGAGGAAATGAAATTTTAAAGTCCTCAATTTATGGATTGAGGCTATGAACTAATGAAGGAGAAGGAGAACTGAACAGCATAAAGTTTGGGAGGTGTTCATAAATGATGTCATTAATGAGGCGTAAATAAGACTTAAAACAAGAATTTTTAAGAATTTAATTTTCAATATTTGACTGTAGAAAGTAAATGACATTTCATGAGAATCTATATCCCGAATAGCACAAGTCGGTTAATCGAATAGGAATCTGGCGCCACTCTAGCATGACTCTGGCATAGTGCTAGCCTCGATTTAAATCCAGCGCCATGCCAGAGTCACACCGACTAGGTTAACCGACTTGTGCCGTTCGGGCATGATTCTCAATAGTAATTTTGTATTCTTGGACTTATGAAAGGTTATCTTTAATTTATGCTGCAAAAAGGAACTCTCTTTTGTCGTGACAGTCAAGCTATTCAGCAAAACTTCAGTGATCTCCCCTGATATTTTAGAGCTTTCTAGCACTTGCCCCATTTGATGTAATTTACGAACAACCTCTTACATCTATAGCACCTCTATAGAATCCCTTTGAAGTTACATGATCAATAACTCAATTAAATTTTTAATTAAAATTATTTTTTTCAATATTTAACTTTGAAGTTCTTTCAATTCTTGTTAACTGTCGGTCGATGAACATTTACAAGTCCTTAGAAACAATGTATTTTCATCAGGCATGGAGCTAGGAGATTAACTTCTTCATTCATCAAATTCACATGATCATTTTATTTGTTCAAACTAGAAGACAGATGAAGAGGGGGGTCCTACGTCATTTATGAATGACTTCTAATATAAAAGCTCATTAAAATTGCTAGACTTATTTTACAAAAACATATTTGGTCCCTCAAAAATTCTAATTCCACCACTTCTGTTTACACTTTGAAGATTTTTCTTGAATGTTCTTAGCTTTACTACCTTCCTAGAAGGTGGATCTTAATTCCAATTAATTTCCGCGTGGTTAATAATCAAATGAAACCTTTCAGCTCTGCCTTTTTACTCGTTCATTCTAGCACTCAATAATAAATTTTTTATCGGATATTCAAAAGTTTATGTGATAAAGTCATATTCACTTTATAAATGCAGAATTCTTCATCAAAAAAATTCTTTAATGCACTCATAAATAATTCCCAGATGTAATTTTTCTTTCCTTCTTCTTTCTGTAATTCACAGGATCTGAAGACTCTCTTGTTCTCGAAAAAAAAGAAGACTTAAAGTACAATAAGAAGCCATTCGAAGAAGAAGGTGCTAAAGTTTCTGCAGTCTTACGACGAGTTAAATCGACTGTAAAATCGCTTTCTTTATAGAGTTAACTGAGCATACTTATACAGTGCACAAATTTTTATATAAAAAGCCATAGTCATGGATGCGAGTTGCTTCTACTGTCAGTTTAGTCTGAATACAGCTGGTATAATAATTGGAGTTTATGAAATCGTTCAATATACTCTGCTCTTCTTTTTCGCTCTACATTTCTTCAAAGGTAGGTAGATATGGCTTGTAGATGACTTTAAACAGTACAAATGTCATTTAAATATTTAATTTAAATTTTGAGCGCATTTTGTTGACTTTTTGAGGTTATTTTATAGTTTTTGAGGTTAAGTTCTGAATTTCTAGGTCAAGTATATAGTTTTGACGTTAGGGTTGCAACTTGAATATTAAGTTGACTGTTTTAAGGATAGGTTTAAAATTTTAAAGTTAGGTTGACAATTTTAAGGTTATGTCAACAATTTTAAGGTCAGGTTGGAAAACTAAAGGTTATGTTGGCAACTTCTAGGTTAAGTTTATAATTTTGAGGGAAGGTTGACCACTCTCAGGTTAGCTTGACAACTTTAAGGTTAGGTTGACTTTTTTAAGGTAAGCTAGACAGCTTTAAAGTGAGAATGACAGCTTCAAGGTTAGGTTGACTTCTTTCAGATTAAACTGACAATTTTGAGTTTAAGTTGACAACTTCTGATTTTAAAATATTTGAGGTTATAAAAAAACAAGATAGGCTTAAAACTATTGAGTATAGAATACTCAATCAGCCTTAAATCTCAGCCAAACAAACCTAACCTCAAAAACTCAACTCTTCAAAACAATACGCTCAAGTATCCTTAACTCACTGCTCTCCACAATCCACTAACTCCCCCAACCAACTTTACATTGACATTGATGTCATTCCATTTAAACCTCCGCTTGTCACCTGACCCAGATCTTTTTTGATTGAACTTTACTGTTTTTCTTCCTATATTCATTTTCAATTCAGATGATTCAGATTTCCTTACAATTGTCACCTGCTGTTTATGTGCCCTCATTATTGTATCGGCATTACTGGTCTATGGATCATTCAAAGTAAGTGGAAGTCTCATTTGTTAAATAATAAATTCATGACAATTTTTCATTATTTATTCAATAACATAGAACATCAGACGGTACGTTGTGTCATGGATATTTGTCGTAGCACTTATTGTCGTTATTCAACTTATGGTTCTCTTCGATGTCATTCACGTCGTCAATACAAAAAGTAGTGAGGCGTCTGATAAATCATTTCTTTATACAGCTTTAGAAGTTTTCTGTTTAGGTAAGTGTATCAATTTATTCTTTTTATTCATGCATCCAATAACAATAAGTAACAAACAGACGAAAAATAAAATGGATTTGAATGAAATGTATGAGCGGAAAAGTGAAAGGTGATGGAAAATAAATGTGAGAAGTTTTTTTTCCTCTTCCTTGCTGCTGTTTTGAATACAACGATGAGGAATTTATTGAATATTTGACGACGGAATCGAATTTTATTGTGATTCCCATACATCTTTATAGAGAATTATTTATTTTTTTTCTTCTTTAAACCATGTTGAGGATGAAAAATCGACTGACATTGAATTGTCTGTATGTCATTTTATGGGAATTTAAATTTAGGTTAAGGGTCGTTCACTTAACACAAACCCCACTTTTTCCAAATTTTTTTCACTTTGCTTGAGCTGGTATAACCCCAAGATCATCCTTCATGGACTTGATCATGTTGTCTGAAACTCTGTCGACTCTACAAGTCTCAGTTATACAATCTTAGCACTCAATCTTCAGAATAAGTAATACCAGAGAAGGCCAATCCGCGACACACAAGCGTGCAATGTCACGTGAGCCTAGGCAGAAAAAAGGTTGGCAACCACTAAGTTAGACTACATTAACAGAAACATACTGACAATTGTACAATCTTCAGACTAGCTCCTTCAAAAAATTGCGCTAAAAACCAGCAATTTGGTAAACTCAGTACGTAAAATGCGTCAATTTCCCCAACATATCCACTTCCCATGATTCACTAACGCAAAACAAATTGTAACAATTTCCTTCTCTTCAATAAATTCTCTTTACAAAATCAAGAAGAAGTAAATACAGAGATCTTCAGCTTTGGTATGAAAATTGGAAATATTTCAAATAACGCACCTGAGTATTTTTTTTGCATATAAATCCTATATAGGCTCAAAAACGAGGAAGCAAAAAAAGAAAATTCAGAATGATATCGATATATGTTTGATGGCATGAATACGTGATGAATGAATGAGGCATGCACGTTTCCACATTGACATGCCATTTTATTCGACACATTAAGGCATTTCTATTGGCTTCTTATTTTTTTTCTCGCGATTCTTGCATAAATAATTTTACAAATATTTTTTTTTCTCACACAAAATTTGGATGTCGCAGATAAGATTGGATTTGGTTGATATGGAAATGATTTTTCTTCTACCTTGAAGATTTTTGATTTCATTCATAGAATTTTAAAGTTTAAATATTTAAATGTATTCGAGGAAGTGGAACTGGGGATTTTTAAAGTAAGTTTGGGTCTTTAATGGGATTCCTATAGATGACAGTTGAAACCTAAAATCTTAAAAGCAGGGGGAGTGGTTTTTGTTTACAAAACTTAGTATTGACCCTGAAAAAAATTATAAAATAAGTAAAAAAATATGAAAAATCACCCCCGCTCCCCTCCTCGTCACTGCTTCTTTTTTTTGGCACAAGAAATGAACGCCAAACATTTACTTTCTAATTTACATAAGAAAAAGAAATATCTGTAATGAAAAATAGGAACAGCACGAGCAAAGAGCTATGTGAAAATACAAAAAAAAAATAAAATCTGAATAAATAAATATCGTATTGATTTCGAGAATATGCTCACGAAGATGTGAAATTTATTAATGATATTTAGGATTCCGCAATCTAAAATGGATATTTTTCATCTGAAATTCTATTTATCATTGTTCATTGATTGTTATTTGAGTAATGAAGCATTATTTGGAATGTTGACGGACGGAATTGGCAATAATTGTATTATTTTGTTTCTGAATTGATGAAATTAAATCAATTGGAATTAAAATTTGACTTTGAATAAAAGATTGTCGACTTTTTTGGGTTCTTAAGATTTTATATATGTAAATGCATTGGGTGAGCCTAGAAAAAGACCTCTGAGGTTTTATGACACCAGTTTCAAGAGCTATATAGCGGTACTAACCTTAAAATCAAAAACTGATGGACTTGGTTCCATATTTAGTGGTAAATTAAGTTTGACTGTGTCTAAGGTACACCGGATAGCACTAGAATCCAACATCTACCAAGTATTCTGAGAAGTGATCAAAATGATTAACCTCAATATATCTTACGGGCAAGCAACAGCGTTAATATCCAATAAGAGCATGCACAAAAAGAATGGTGGGTGAGAGGTCTGGAAAGTCCAAAAAACCATACCTAATAATTCAATAAAATTCCTCAACAATAAATCCATCCCATTCCAAACTATTTACAACCAACTTTTACTTTTGAATGCTTCTGTGTGCACGTCTGAATGATTTATGATCTATTTTTATGTTCACTTAATTGCATCTCATTCAAATTTTCATCTCTTTTTTTCCTTTTTTTTGTCTTCATTCTAGTTTTAAACATTAGTTTTCTCATAATTATGATGGAGTTTCAACGGAAATTAAAAGAGCAAGAGGATGATGATCGCTTACCATAGAAATTTATATATATAAAAATAATATAGAGTGAACAGCATGAATGAAAGAAAAGTTTGTAATAAATTGGCGTCAGCTGAGGATGATAGAATGAGTAAGGAAAATGCAATTTCAGCAAAGCTTTAAGTCAATTAGATTAAGAACTTTAAATTAAATTTTTTTAGTGTTCGTTCGGCAATTAGATTTAACTAGTTTTCTCAAAACTAAAATTTATTATATTTTTCATTTCTTTATACATCGACAGCGGGGAAAATTTTTTTGCTCGCTTTAAGTGCCTTGTCATCGTTGACTTATATTAATGACATAAACGAAAATCAAAAGAAATCAATTATAATGAATCATTTAGCTTCTATGCAATTTTTTGTGTCATTAAAATATCTATTTTATAAGCTCGGAAAGTATTTTTTGTAGGGTTTGTCGGTGGTGATTGATTTGGGTATTTTAAAAGTTATTTTAATTAATAGAGCATATTTATTTAACATACAGTCGAGGCTATTGAGAGTTATTCATTAGTGTTGAGCAACTTTTGAGAGTGGGAAGGGTCTGATAGTTTTTGACATTTATCAAAGGTGGAATTGTGTGTGTGTGGGGGGGGGGGTATATTGACGGAAAAATAAGGAATGTGGTAGAGGGAATGGTAATTGAATTAATTTTCTCGTTAAAAACAAGATATAACCCTACACTCCCCACATAGGTTCACCCTTGATGTTGCATATGAAGAGGAAGCGGTTTGAAATCTTTAGGTTTCAAAGACTTCATTTATTAACACCGCCTCAGACAAAACTAATGCAAATTCATCAAAGAAGTTATTCATTTTTATTAAAGCAAATCAGACTCAGTAGGAATTGAACCAGTGTCTTCAATTGGTAGGTGTGATGGTCGATCAGTTGATCAAAGATCTTTGCTACTAAGCTACTAAGATTCTAGCCTTTAGCAATTTGTCTTACACATGGTAGTTAAGTAAAGCCTTATTCCTCTATCTAAGCAGAACTATTGGGACTTTAAACAAAAATTGCTTAAAAAACATAGCCACATCAAATTATTTTACAAAATTACCAAATTAATCCCCTCGAAAAAATCCCTGCAAATTTCTAATTTTTAATATATCGTCTCTTCATCTCAGTCGCATACATGAATGGCATTGAATTGAGATGACGACAACGATGAAGGAATAAACTTTTCTTTTGCCACACGAATGGCTAAATAAGTATGCATGCATGCATAAACAGAAGCACAAGATATTATGTATGATTTTCTCTAGTGTTATTATTATTATTATTATAATATTATTACACACAAAAAATACATTAAATTTAGAATAGTTATGCACATACTTTACTGCTGTTAAGATCCATTAAAAATGTGAAAATGAAATAAAACTTTATGTTTTGTTACAAAAAAAAAGAAAAATTATTTGCCATGAAAGTGAACTGAATATTAATTTCCACATTTCAGTGCATGGTTACGGATTGAATCTCATGTGAATTTTGGGATTGTTGAAGCTTCATATAGAGTAAGTTTTATAGCTGTATTTGTATTGCAATGAATTTTATATTTCAGCATAGATAGTTGAATGTATCAACAATGTTGTAGTTAAGGAATTGATGTCAGAATGTAGAGTAGAGAAGCTTAAATGATGTGGCAGGTCATGTCAATAATTTTGCGGCTTTTAAGGGTGGCTGCTGGGTTATGTCTGTTCTATTGAGCATCCAGAAATACAGAAATGTTTTTTTAAATATTTACAGCAACTGTATTAGAGTATCAACACATGCCTTACCCAAATTCCTATTTATTCATCGATAAATTCCGCCAAAATCCTCATTACAAATTCACTACAAAAGCAAACAAAGAATTTTAATACAAAAGCTCGAATTTCCAGCTCCTCAAATACCAAATGTTAAACAATCATCGGTTCCAATCAATTTACAATCATATTTTTTTTATACATTCCGAATTATCTCAAAACCACATTGTGGATGGAAAATATTCAGCAACGCAATTGAAAGTCAACAGATCAATATTTATTTTCATTATATTGAAAATTTTCTACATTTCATTCAATAAATAAGTATAAACAGTTTCCAGTTCTGTTTCATTCTTTATCAGCTATGAAGTTTGTTTGCTGTATTGGAATATTGTTTTCATTATTTAGAGAATTTTTTTCATCTGTACGTTATCAGAATCGTTTACATAAAGTCATGACTTTTTTTTCTCATCTCACACAGAGAATGATGTTGAGAGTTAGGCATGGTCACTATTTGGATACATTATTGACTTTATTAAGCTAAGTTTATTCATTTCAGCAATATTTGGCTCAATTAAGACATGCTGAGTTATATTTAAACTCATTTCAGCAATATTTGGCTCAATTCAGCAACCTATGGATCAATTCAGTAAAATATGGCTCAATCCAAAAAAGATATGGCTCAATTCAGCTACCAATGGCTCAATTCAGCAAAATATGGCTCAATTCAATAAAATTTAGTGTTGCACAGCTATACTTAGCTCAATTCAGCCTCCATATAGTCAAATTTTTCACTAGATCCTCTGTTTCACTTTCTAATGACGTTATCATCACATCGTCTCCCCCTATCAATAAACTTTCAATGAGAACTTGTCTCAATCTTTATTACTCACATAAAGTCATCGTCAGAAGGAAACAAAATCGTTATAGATTAAAATATTTTCATCATCAGTATTCATAAAAATCTCAAAGAATGAAGAATAAAATTGGAAGTTTCCTAATTGGCTTCACTATATTCTATTCTGTGTTGAAAGTTGTTCATTTCTCTTATTGTGTGTACAACCTACTTGACATTATTCTTGACAACGATGGTGATGATTGTGAATATTCATGCATATTTCAATATATGGAATTAATATTCATCCTTTGTTTGCTGATTTTCTTGCTCCTCTTATTCTATGGTGTAATTAAGGTAAAAGTTTTAAATTTATTATAATCTTATTAATTAATTAACAGAAATTTTATTATAGTCGAAACAATCATATGTGGGATTATGGCTTGTCTTTCATGCTTTATTGATTATGTTTCAATTTGGTTTTCAATATTTAATTCGATTCAGTTCTCAACGAGATGAATACAGTGAGGCAACGAGGATCTACAAGTCGATTGAATTGTGTAAGTTCATGTTTTGTTAAATTTCATTTGAAATTCTCAATTCTCTGTTGGTGATAAGCGCTTGATTTGTGGATGAGGGGTTGTTTGAAGTTACAATTTGGTTTCTGTTTCGATTTGACTAGGGTGACCATCTGCGTAGTTTTACAACGGACAGTCCTGTATTTCAAAACCCTGTCCTGTATAAATTTTTAAATTTTGTTCCTGGTCCTGTATTTTCTTCATGAAAATTTCCGTTAATTTTCGAATTTTACTCTATGTCCTGTTTTTTTCGAAAAAATTTACCAAATGTCCTGTATTTTCATGAAAACTAGATGGTAACCCTAGATTTGAGTCTGTTTGTTGGGCAGAATAATAGATAAAAGTAGCAAATTTTGTATCTTGTGGTGAGTAAGGATATGTGTTCACTTAGCATAGTTAATTAGACTGTCCAATCTATCATGAAATCAAACAACTTAAACACTTCCTATAAAAATGCGCTCAAATTACAAACATTAAAACAAAGACTCACAACTTAATTCTAATTTAATTATATTTTATCCTATCCCATCTCCCATGATAGCCTTCGATATGATTTCATTTTACATCATTTGCCGTCTTAACAATGCCTTGATTGATGAGAGAGCATCGAAGGCAACGAAATTCAACACCCAATACCTCAAATACTAAATTAATCCTAGCAAATGAAATGAATGAATGGCTGTGATTGATGTGAAAGTGGAACAACCCTTGGAGAGATTTTGTGGGATTTATTTATGTATATTGAAGGAATCTTTTGAGGGTGTTATGGGATTTAGTGACGAAATTGAATGGAAATGAAGCTGAAAATGTGAAACTATTAAAAATTTGAAGATGTTTTGTTATTGACAAATGTTGAAGCTCGTCTTCGCTGCATAATTTGTTCAAGGCTATAAGATCATCAAAATGTAAGCACCACGAACCTGCCAAATCTCCAACAAAGAATTAAATTATACAAATGTAAAGACTAAGGGCAATGAAATGCCAGCAGAAGAGGAAGTAACGAGCTCAAAACTTCTGTCATTCTCTCGCAAAAAATAAAACTTTTTCCTTATCAGCTTAATCCCACGCATAAACACAGTTAGTCGATGAATTAACAGAAATGAGAAACTTTTGCAAAATCGGATGGAAGGCACAAAATCACGATCACAGCAAAAATTTTCTCATTCACAACAGAGAAGAAAAAAAGGTTGACATCGATTCCTTAAAATGAGTCTGGAAACGATGATAAATGATGATGAATCAGCCTTGAACTTGACTTGCTTCTTTTTTTTTATTGAATGATGAGATTAAAGTACATAATTTATGTTGTATGAGGGAAGTCAAGAGATAAAAATAGTTTCAAAGCTATCAGATCAGCTGTTAAATGCTCATTAAAAGTTATGAGAACTAATGTGGTGTGAATTATTGATGATGTGATGTTGGAAGTTTTGATGTTGATTCTGGCAACATAGTTTAGCTTAAAGGCATACAAAGAAACAGCTTAGTTTAATACCTTGGCAAATTGTGTAGTTTTCAACCCTGGATAAAATAAATTTATTGATTTGGACCTTGAATTACAAAAAAATTTCATAGTTTTACACCCCCAGGCAATTTTGATTGGATGAATGCATAGTTTCATACCCTTGGAGAAAAATATTTTATAGTTTTGTGTCCCTAGTGTAAAATTGTTTACAAAATTTTAGACCCTGAAACACAAAATAATTGCATAGTTTCACACCCGTGATCATATTTTGATTATTTAACTGTTTATTTCACACCCCTAGGGACAAGTTATTTTGAAATTTTTTCCCTAAAGTAAAAATGATTGTATTGATTTGTAGCCCAAAAGTCGATGTTATTGCATAGTTTTGTAATCCTAGAGTCAAATTGATTACATAACTTTGGACCACAAAATAAAAAAATAAGTGCATAGCTCTGCACCCCTTGTGAACAAAAGAATTTTCAAACGCAATGTTTTATAAAATACAAACAAATCCTCATAATCAAAATTGAGCAATACCAAAACAACTTCCATATTCCATAGAAATCTTAATAATTTTAATTAACTTAATTGATGTAATAAGTCATTGAAAATGTAAATTCATATAATTCTATGTAATATATTGTGATGATGCAAAGCAGCATGATTATAGCAGATAAATTAATAAAGTGCTTTAATTGCGAGATAAATAAATAATTAATTATTAAAATTATTTAAATTATCAGCTTCTCTTACAGACATGCATTAATTTATGTTGTGTCGCGACAGGTTTGTCAGCATTTTAATAAACATTTTGGAAGGTGCGGTGTGAATTTTATAGCGTGGTAGGGAGTTTGATTTTGTTGAGTGTATTATATTGTGATGGCAGGTAAATATGCAAACTAATGGCTCAAATTTTTAAAATAATTTTAAATATAGAATCAGGAAGCACAGCTCTTAGAATCCTCAATTCACAATCATAACTTATATCTACTCAAGTCCTCACTTAACACCCCTCGAAATCATAATCACTCTGCCATTTAACTGATTGTTTTTTTACAAAAAGATTATAATTTTTAATCTTGGACACGTTTCATCCACTATAGCTGATAGCCAATTTATATGTCAGTTTTTATCAAATTGCTCATATTCAAGTTCACTCGAGCATTTCTTGGCACACGACCCAAGTGGCGTGGATGAGTGCATATACATTTGTGTGGATATTTTTATACTAGTAGAGTTTGCTTGTTAGGTTCGGCGGGGAATTTTTGTTTTTTTTTGAAGCGTTTTGCATTTTTGTATTAATGAACGATTATGAACTTCATAACTTAATGATCCCTAAGCAGAGCTATAGAATCAACCAGAGCTATGACCCCTCCCCCACCGCTACTTGACCCTCATAACTAATTTTAAATTAAAATACCTACTCAAATCGATTCCCCTCGTTATGAAGCTTTACAAAGCTAGGACCCACCTTCTCCCCATTTGCCTTCCGAAATATATACGAACGACTTCTAATTTTAAGGTTGTTGAACATTTTTTTAGTAGGTTTATTAGCATCTTAAGCCTTCGATGAACTTGCAGACCAATTGTGGTCCTTGGCATTCTTTAGATTGCGCCTAAAACTGGCTACCGCTTGCTAATTGATAATCCCAAATTCAATATTGTCTCTTTGAATAGCTTCCTTCCGTGAGTATTTTATTAACATCAGCCGTGAATATTTTGAGACTAGCAATGGCATAGTCTTTAAGAAAACCATCAAAGTCTCTTATTTGAAGACCAAAACATCAATTACTTCCAATCACGACTAGTTCCTCAAATATTATCCCAACAAAGTCAAACAACAGAAGAAAATTATATAAATCCTCGACATCAACACAAATACTCAAATTCAACAAAGACGACGAAAAGATTAATTCGAAAATTACGAAAAACTTTCACATTCACAGCACTTGAGCGTCCTGCACATGATCTAATTTCATTGTGTTATCTATGTGACAAACATATTGAATTTTTCAAGAGATAAATTTCTCATGCATGTATGATCATCATCTTATCTCACACACAAATAATATTATGCGATAAGCATTCTGAATTCATTATTATTACTGCTGTGTGTCACAAAGTAAATCGACCTTAGTCTTAGTTAAGGTGATAGTGCGAAAAGATCGATTCCTTTTTTTTCTTGTTTGCGGTGAAAAAAAAAAATAATAAATAAATCGGAGCGAAAATGTTGTACAAAAGCGTTTGCGGAATCAATTTAAATTTAATTAAGGCTGCATTATTTATCGGCACTTATGATATATTTGGCACAATCACGTTAATTGTACTCGAAATTGAATTCTTCTCACAAAGTACGTATTTTGCTGAGGTTTTGTGGAAATGATTTAAATGGCAGGGTTGTGAATTTGAGTGACTTGGACGTGTTGAAACAATGTCGTTTATTGGTCTTTGGATCTGAAATTTAATGGTTCTTAGAAAAAATTTTAATGGGGTATGCTGCAAAAGTGACAATAATTGATCCAGACCAGTGTTGTTCAAACTATGTGCCGCAGAATTTTTTGGCATGTAGACGACAATGTTGGTTTAGATGGTGATGACTTGCCCCTAATTTATGCAGTGGATCAAAAAAATTGAATCACACTGGTCTAGATCTCCCTGGACTTGATTTATAAAGTTCCAAAGAAATATCATACATCAGCCAAGTGTAACGCGGGCGTTATTAGAATTTTTTTTTGTATCTTAAAACTTTGGTTTGAGGGCTAATAACTTATAAAAAACAAAGGCAAAAAAAAGTTATGATCACGAACTATCTATAAAATCAATGCTGATCAGCAGATGCTTTTTATCGAGTCTGCTTTAACCGGCTAAACCATACAAAATCCGAACCAACTTCGTCATCTACTTGAAAGTTTAATAACCTTTCTTTTGCAAGTCTATAAAACAATAAATAAGTAATAACATGCGTACTAAGCCTGAATAGCTATCGAATATAGCAAATAGACTTTAGCAACTAATGATAAGATACTGCAATATGTGCCATCTTCAAGTGTCTCTAATATAAATCAAGCAGCACACAATTTTACAACCCTGCGAGTCATGAAAATAATTTTTTTTTTCAACAAGCTAGCAAATCATTGAAATTTTCTATCAGATCGTAAACTGAACGTAGATAAACGTTCATAATATAATTTTTAATTGCAATCAATTAGCTTCACTTTCCGTTTCAGTGCAAACTCAACAAATGGTTTATCTCTCATGCTTCTCAATTGGCATTATGGCAGCAATATTATTGATTCATGGTGCATTCAAGCTTAATCGACATCTATTAATTTATTGGATATGTGTTGCCGTTATTAGGATCGTCCTGCAGTCTATGCTGATATTAGAAATTTTTTATTATCACATATTGGAATCATCGCCTTATGAAATTGTCTATACGACATTGGAAGTTCTTGACTATGGTTAGTTGACCACAAAGTGTGTTTTTGCTTTTTGTTCATGTATTTTTGTGGCGTTTCTTGTCTTTTTGTGTTTTGAATTACATTTTTGGAACATCTGAGCTCTTGTCGGTTGACAAACTAGCACTTAATATTCTAGATTGATGTAAATTGGTTGTTAAACATTGATTGATGTGACTGCAACACTTAACAAGATTGAAAATATTCAATGGATGTCCAAAATGCGCCTTATGCACTCACCATCAATTGCTTAATACTCAAAATCGTTTTATTATTTTATCGTTTCAGTGGTTCTCATCACAAGCTTCTGTCTCGTGATAAACTTATACAGGCAGCTAAAATATCGAGACCAGAATTTCTCGAGACTTGAAAATGAAGTATGTTGATGATTATCGTGATGACATTGATGATAACGATGATTTATAGTCATAAGATTATTAACGTTTTATAAAGATAAAAAGTAAGGAATTTGTTTGTAGATTAATGTTGTGTGTGTCTAAAGCGCATTTTCTGGGAAGTCAGTAGCAATAGCTGATGACTACATGCTAGGCGTAGGATTTATTTTGGGATTCGAATTTTGACAATAGAATGGTGAAACTGGTGAAATTCTTTTAAAGGGTTTTGTTCTTAGTGTCCGCTAAGATCAATGGGCAGGGCAACTCCACAAGTAGCTAATGGATACCTGATTTTCAGACCATCAGCAAAATTGATTCGGATGTATATCAAAAGTAAGAAGTTTTAAACACCTGCCGTGGATAATTTTATTAGTATCAACCCTGCACCCTTCCCTCGTAACATAAGCCTCAATAACTGAAAATCCACTAAATTATCATCAAAAATATTCAGACAATCCAGATATTCAAATTTATTTCCATCCAGAAAATAAGGCGCAAAGCACAAAAATAACAATAAGTCAATTGAAATTTATTTTTAAACCCATGAGTATTTTTATAACCGTATGCATGTATTGTAAATATCAAATAATAAACTCTGAATGTGTATTGTGTCCTCCACTGAGTGCATCATTAAAGTCGATAAGATGAAAAGATTTAACAAAAAATGTTTCAATGTGTGATTGTTTACAATGTCACGAGATTACTGACCTCCTACAACATTGTTTGCTGTTTGTGAATTTATTAGTAGATTAAATGGATTTAAGATTGTTTTTGAGAATTTTGTAGATCATTTGTGAGTATCACAAAAATAAGAATGAACGGCAAGGTTCTTCAAAAAAAAAACGTCTATCCAATTAAAAGTACCTACATGTTGGTTCCTATAATTATATTAACTTCCAGTGAATTAAATTTGAAGCCTTCTTAGAAGATCAATCTGCTTTTGGCTACCCTAAATATGTTGTAAAAATTGATTTAAAAATTTTAAAGTAAAAGAACATAGGAAATTCGGCAAATTTATACACACGTGCCATTTTTTGAGAGGACCTTGAAAGCATTGTTATCAATACTTTTTTTTTCGATAATAATAGCAAACTCGTAAGCATAAAATTCACAAATTTATTGTGTGTGACTCACAAAAGAAGCAATGAATCATCATTATCAATTTTATTTAATATTTAAAAAATGAAATTACATAACGACATGAACAGAAGGAGACAGTCTTTATATAGAATATTATTTTGATCATTTTACAGTTCAAAGCTTACGTCTGGAAATACATGGAAATCAGTTTGAAGCTTTTTAAAGTTAATTGATTTAGGGCCGTTCACTTATGTCGTCCTGGGAGAGAGGGGGGGGGGGGGGGGGGGTCAGCAAGAAAAGAACAACAAGTGCGTGTTAATGATGAAATGATCGAAAATGATCAAAATTGATCAAAATGAAATTTGTCAGTTCCGCACCCTTGAAAAACAATAAAGTTCCAGAAAATCCATTGTTCTTTTTTTGAAAAATGACCGTTAATTTTGAACGTTATAAGTGAACGGCCCCTTTAATAATTTGGTATTTATTTTCAATTGATAAACTCTTTCTGCGTTTGAAGTTATTTTTTGGAAATAAATTAAAAGCTCACAAATGAATGATTCTGGGGAAAAATGTCGTAATTGCATTTTGTTCTTTTACTTGTTATAACTCTAAAACTATAGAAGATAACATAAACATATTATATATTGTTGGAATTGACATCCAAAGAGCTATTTAATTATGCTATTTTTGAACCGGTTCAATCGGTTTAAACGGTTCAAAAACCGGTTTAAAGTTGAAAAACTAAGAAATTGAATAACTTTTTTAATATTTAATCAAAGGCTTTGCTTTTTAGCTTGTTTTGTAGCCTTTAAAAATGCTCATAACTTGTTGGAGCTAGATTTTTGATTATCGACCTGTGACGTCATTTATGAGCCATTTATGTCGAAATTTTGAAAGCTTATTTCTCAGCAACTACATATGATACAATAACTATTTATACCTTAAAATTTTTCAATTTTCTTAAAAATTAATGAACATTAATAATTTGTGGGATTTGTGAATAAGTTTTGTCAAAAAATGATAAAACCTTAAAACATTAAAATGTTTTGAACACTATTTTACCTTTATTTGATACTTATCTTTCAAATACGGAAAAAATTCTTATTGCATTAAAAAAGCTTTTAATTTCCTTTAAAATGATATATAACATGCTTGGGGTTTATCAGTAAATGACGTCTAAAATTTTTTTATTTTTTTCTAATGATTTTTGTACCTTTTTTCATTTAGTTTTAGTCTTCTATTCCACTTTCTTCTAATTTTTCACATTTTTCATCGAAATAAAAGTAAATATTGCCATTTTATCCAAAAATACTAATGTTTTATTAAGTAGCAAAACTTCAATAACAAATAGTTGAATGCACATTTAAAAAATCATTTGTATTTTTTGATTAAATGGCAATATTTACTTTTATTTCGATGAAAAATGTGAAAAAATAGAAGAAAGTGGAATAGAAGACTAAAACTAAATGAAAAAAGGTACAAAAATCATTAGAAAAAAATAAAAAAATTTTAGACGTCATTTACTGATAAACCCCAAGCATGTTATATATCATTTTAAAGGAAATTAAAAGCTTTTTTAATGCAATAAGAATTTTTTCCGTATTTGAAAGATAAGTATCAAATAAAGGTAAAATAGTGTTCAAAACATTTTAATGTTTTAAGGTTTTATCATTTTTTGACAAAACTTATTCACAAATCCCACAAATTATTAATGTTCATTAATTTTTAAGAAAATTGAAAAATTTTAAGGTATAAATAGTTATTGTATCATATGTAGTTGCTGAGAAATAAGCTTTCAAAATTTCGACATAAATGGCTCATAAATGACGTCACAGGTCGATAATCAAAAATCTAGCTCAAACAAGTTATGAGCATTTTTAAAGGCTACAAAACAAGCTAAAAAGCAAAGCCTTTGATTAAATATTAAAAAAGTTATTCAATTTCTTAGTTTTTCAACTTTGAACCGGTTTTTGAACCGTTTAAACCGATTGAACCGGTTCAAAAATAGCATAATTAAATAGCTCTTTGGATGTCAATTCCAACAATATATAATATGTTTATGTTATCTTCTATAGTTTTAGAGTTATAACAAGTAAAAGAACAAAATGCAATTACGACATTTTTCCCCAGAATCATTCAAATGTAGGTACGTTCGTATGTTTCCGAACGTTAAGAGGTGTTTCAGGTTTTGTTACGTTCCATATTAAATGTTTTCTGATTTCCGTTTAAAACTTTTTAATAACGGGGGTGGAAAAACTAACATTCAACCCATAAGATCTCCTCCCCAACTCTGTCACAAAAGTTTCGTTTCTTAGTGTCACACAGCGACATACTTTCTCATCTTCTCCTGTAGATCTGATTAAATTTCATTTAATCTAATTAAATGATTTTTTTTTACTAATTCATCTTTTACCACTTTTGCAAAAAAACATTTTTTTTTAAATTTTGTATCGAATCACACTTGCTAAACTACAAAAAAGTTGTTAACGAATCCCTCAAATAACTGCATTTATTTTAAAAAACTTACATTTTGCAAAATAAACCAACGCAAATTCAGTGTAAACATATAAGTTCATTTAATATTTGAACTGATTTACAAATATATAATATGCATTTAAACTTGTTATATTACTAGACTCATCTGAAAATACTACAGCTTCGTTGGACTGTGTATGTGACAAATTAGAATCAAGATTTTGAAAAATAAAAAAATTATTTAATTCAATATTAATGTTGCATCATTCTAATGACGACTTGTGTTGACACTATGTAAATAAGTAGGACAGTCAATAATTTGATTGTTGTCTAGCTGTCGCACTTATTGAATAAGAAGTTTTGATTCAGATAGAAAATTTCATTGGATTTAACCAGTTAAGTTTAGTAAACATCAATGCTTTTGCTGCTTAAGCAGCATAGCAAAAGTGAACTCGATGAATGATTCATCTACATAGGTTGGGTTCAGACCCATATCGACACAGTTCAAAAGTTATACCTAATTTATGTCATAATTATGTCAACTACAAAAAAACTTAGTTTGAATTTTGTCACCCTCGGGAACACTATGAACCAGTATAGCTAATTTTGGTCCAAATCTCGGCCATACTTCACACTTATTTGAACCACATTTTCTCGTAAATGTTAAAATATTATTAAAAAGTAGTTAATCCTGAATTATGTCGCTATTTTTTCAAGTGTTTTAAAATAAAGAAATTTTTTTTTTTGGTTTCCACAGTGAAGAGTATGAAATTTTAGCTTTCGATTTTTTTTCAAGCTATGCATTATAAAAAATAATATTGGTATGTGATTTATTTCAGAATTATGTCTATTCAAATAAAACATCCAAAAAATTTTTTTGACCAAAGTACACCATAGAAAATCAATTTTCAATTTCAAACTATGGGCGACCCTAGTCAAAATCAATTTTGTCACTTTTTTTTTCGAGGGTTTATACAAATGGATTGAAACTTTGCATAAATATTCTAGTGCTTAAAACAAATACAAATAAAACATTCTAAAATTTTTTTGAGTAAAGAACCAAGTAGGAAATACATTTTCAATTTTGGACTAGGGGCAAGACTAGTAAAAATCTTGTTTTTCACTTTTTCTTCCTTAGAAGTTTTATCCAATTACATTTTTTATAAAATTTGGGTTTGACGACTTATAGAATACAATTTTTGTTTTAGATATTTAAAACTGTATGGCATAAATATTAGTATGCTCACACAAAGTTTCACTGTAATTGGATAAACCTTGCAACAAAAAAATAACGAAAAACTAGGTTTTTGTCCCTAGTTCATAATTGAAAATGAATTTCTTAACTAGTTCTTTGGTGAAAATTTTTTTTAAAAATACCGTGTCGTGTCTTGTTGCATCGATAATTGATACGCAAAATCTCCAATTCTAAACTTTTCTGCGCACAAATTCCAAACATTGTTCGAATTCAAATTGAATATCTGTGTGTCCAATAACAATAAATACAAGCTCCTTCTTCTTCATCTTCAGCTGGTTAGATAGGCTCGTAAAATAAAGTTATTTACATGGAATGTATAGACAGCTTACAGCATAGAAATAGCTGACATATTTGTTATTATTCAATGATTCACACACAGAATTCCTCAATGTTGACATCTCAGTTATTGTTATAGTTATGTCGATGTGATATTTTGGAACTGATAATAAACTTTTTATGCGCATTTAGTTGAATTCTTATCAATTTAATATCATCGTCCTTTTTCATAAACTTTTCAGACAGAAATTATGCTTACGTCTTCTATTTTTTCCCATCTTGGATTTGCTCATTTATTGTAAGGACCTAATGTCTATTTAAAAAGTTCTGAGAAGTAGCAAAAAGGGTTCATGTTGATGCTTACTGAGATGGAAGAAGAAATGCACAGAATCATGATGAAATTTTGAATTTTTCTTTCTTGGAAATTAATTAAACTTTTTTTTTTTGCTGCTTGTGCTTTTCATATCCAAAAAAGGGGTTGTTGTGACAAAATATGAAGTCATACAGCAACAATTGAATGATAAAAATTTATTTGCTGTCTTTTTGAATAAAATTTTTCATGATTTTATCGAGTTATTTTGAAATGGACTATTTACGTTTAAATGTTTGCCATAAAAAGTGTTGTTTTTAAGGATATTTTTGAATGTTGGTCTGTGTTATCAAATTCATTAATCAGGATGTACTTTAAGGGATGCTTAGAGATTTAAAATAGCTCTAGGGTTAAGGTATGTTGGTAGTGAAGTTGTGTAAAGCTTAGGTGTCTAAGATATCCCAAGTAACCGAAATATTCCATATAATCTTCCTTTAACGTCGATGGAAGATCAAATGTATCATTATTTATTACATATAAAATGTTTGTTTTACAAACATGTAACAAAAGTGTTCCATCGAAGCCCATCGTCCATATACTTCACAAGTGCTCGCAGAAATCACTATTATAAGTTTTCTTTAAATTTGAATGGGTCTTTCAATTAATTATTTATCTTCTTCGGGTTTGTGTGCGAGTCTTGGGCGTTCATCAGTATGCGACTTAATTAAATTAAGTCCTCTTGTTCTTTTTCGTAGTGTTAGTGTACTTTAATCGAGTACACACTAATACTTTTACAATAATTTACACAAATAAAAGAAAAATACAAAATAACACGTGGAATTTAGCACGTGTTTTATCCAAAAAAATAATCCATTTGTTTTCCATTTGTATTCCTTTGATGTCTTATTGCATTGTACATTTATCTTCCAATTTCATAGGACATCATCTTCCGATGGATGATACATGGATAATACATATGTATCATCTATGGAAGATTCTCATGGAATACATCGATCTACCTTTTGGTTACTTGGGATGATACTTGACATCAGATTAGCCACGGCAAAAATATCCAAAAGGGTCCAGACCTTCTCCCTTACCTCAAAAAACGTCTAGAAAATTAGTTTTTCTGTTAAAGCCCAAAGCTCTTGCGAACATCTAACCCGGTGCTAAGACGATTTAGAGTCCCCTTCATTACTTCATACTTAATAATCAATTTTTTTTATATCTCAATGTCAGGAGCTCTCCGAGACACCTTAGACAAGTCTCAGACAAATTTTATTAATACCAAATATCCTAGTAGATCATATTACATTGTAACCAATCGAGACTGGTTGAGTAGACGTAGAAACCAGCTCCAAGTGCATAAATTCTTAATTTTACGGGAGGGTGTCATGGGTTTCTTAAACATCAGTCCTTGGATTTGAAACTCGGTAAAGCTTGTTCGTCTTCATATCATAAGTCCTATATTTGATGATCTGATGCATCCAAATAGCTTATCTAAAAAGTTCAAGGGCTAGCTCAACTTTCTACAATCCAAATCTATTAAAAACCAAAATACTTAATCCTGGTAGTATTTCCCATGACTTTTTAGTCAAACAATCTCATCTTATTCGTTCGTCTTACTCAGAAATATATTATGTCTCAGTCATATCATAAATGAATCAGTCATAAACCTCCTTCAAGTAAGATAAAAATAGATTTTGTCAGAAAAATATTTGATAAGCATTCCTGATTAGATTTATCTATATTACCCATGAGATACATCCATTGACATGCAGATTTTAGTCTCATAAATTCAATCCATCACAGGAATAATAAAAAAAAAATCCTATCACATTGTTTTCATCCCTTGATAATCACTTTTTTTCCTGCTCCTTGCCTCCCGATTACAAATATGAATCATGAAATTTGATAACAAGAGCAGAGCAGAACATTGAGGAAGAAAAATTCACAAACTCAATTTCATTTTCAGTTTTGTGTGCGACTTGAGACAAATCACATCTTAATGCTCTATCAACTAAATTAAAAGCAGACTTGAAAGGAAAATAAGAGAAAAAATGTTGCTCGGAAGTTGTTGCGGTTGTGATTTAAGTTTGGTAAAAGCTGGGATTGCTGTGGGTTTGTTGGATATTCTTTCAATGGTTTCACAAATTCTTCTTAGATGGAAACATTTTTCCGGTATGAAAATTTTAAGAAGAAAATGTTTTTTAATTAATTTTTCTAAAATTACTTTTTAAAGATGATTTTTCAATTATCATGATATCCATTGGAATCTTCTCAATTGCCATGATTTGTGCTATAATCCTAATCCATGGAATTATTCAAGTAAGCAATTTTTTAAAAAGGCTTGAATGTAAATTTTTCAAATTTATTTTCCACTTAAGATGAATAAATCACTGCTGCTTTATTGGATGGTTGTCGCATTTGTTAGGATTTTCCTTATGTCACTCTTCTGTGGAATGATTCTCTACGTCAAACCCAATGAGCAATTTTTCTTTGGCATGGAAGTAATTGGATGCTGTAAGTAGAAAACTTTTTCTCGGATATGAAAGAAGAATTTTCCTCGGTGACATGCAAAAAAAAATTATTGAAGTGAAAATGAGGAAGGAGACTGGTAACATTAAAGTGACAAATGCGTTACCTTGACATCTTTATTGATTTTTTTCGTTCGTAAATGACCCAGCTGTGTAAGCTCAATTTGATTCCAAAGATCGACTATTGTTTTATGGAACTATTGAACTTAGCAATTGAAAACGCAGTTTGAAGTCTCTTTTTGTAGGTTTTGGATAAAATCTATATCAAAGTAATGGATTAGAATCCCGATAGAATAGGATGCTTCCAACTCCCTTGCTATGCCTCTGACTTTGAGCCATTTGTCGCTTGATTTTCGATCCATGACAAATTTTACTAATTTTTAAATCATTTTTCAGTGATTTTAATCTACAGCTTATTACTAATTTGGCAGCTTTATTTTGAGATGAAAGGAGGAGATAGTGAGCATACAAATTTATTGAAGGATGAAGAAGCTAGTGTACATTAGGTGTATATACTTTAAAAATAAACATTATTTAAATTATTTATGTAAGATAATGATAAATGCAGCTGTGTTCAGTTTATGGATGTCTGATTTTCAGGAACGTTTGAGAGGATTTTCCGTAAACATTTATTAATGCTATTGATTTTCCATAAAAATGTTCATAAAGGAAATTTGCCACAAAATGACTAGAAGGTCTATTGCCACAAAATGACGTCTACATCCGAATTAAAAACAGGTCTATATCCTTAAATCTTCTAATAATTTTCTAAATTCGCTAGACCAAGTCTACAGCCATAAGAATTTACATGGCATCTGTTATTTGAAACTGTCGATTAATTTTTTTAGTGATAAAAACTTTTTTTTTGTAGTAAAATTAAACAAGTGGAGATTACGAGGAGAAAAAAAAGATGCAAAGTGTAATAAACTCAGTTTAGATTAAGCATCGAGGCAGTTAAAATGTACTCAGTGGTTCTTGGCTATCGAATTAATTTAATTTACTGTGCAATTTGTGTTGCAATTTGGGACATAATTCACATTTTGTTTGAATATCACGAGCGCTACGAACGATTGCAATTGTATGAAAGTTTTGAAGAAATTGGATGTTTAAATGACTTTGGAAAGCCACATTGTGTAGCGGTAGGGGATCATAATTTGGCTATTATCGCGTTCAAATATATTTGAAGCTTCCTTTATTTTAGATTTTAACTGAGCTATGTATCTACTCATTGGATCTAGTGTTCTGCGTATTTCTAATTTTTGGAGCATCTGCGGTGAGTGTATTAACAAATCGTTGAGGCTTTTGTTGATATAATTAATGATATTGTTCTCCTCATAAACATTAGATGAAAAGGGTGTGGGTACTTGCTTGGATTCTTCTATCAGTTTATCATCTCGTCGATTTTCTTCTCTTCTTTACACCAATTTATGGTGAACCATTGTCATTGAACGTTGTTCCATTATACATGTGGGCTGATATCGGTAAGCCACCTACTTTATTTAGTGGAAGATTTCTACAAATCTCGTCTTTTGCAGGCATCAGCGTTTTGGGATTGTCGTTTGTTATATACTTCTTTAAGAAACTTAATGATCGACATATTCAAGGAGTAACGAGAGAGCGCTTAACAAATGTTGAAGAGTTTACTGGTGTTGATTTCGGGGCGTATTGAGATGCATTTAATCGATTATTCTATTTGTAGCACGTGCTTTGAAACTAGTGGAGCGATATTGTACTCGTTTTGATGTAGTTTTATTAAAGTTATGAATAATTACAAAGAATTTTATTTTAAAGATCAAACTGATATTTGGACTTTATCGAATTGTTGCAACTTTAACAATTCTGTTGCAACTTTAATTAAAAGTTCTTTTATTTACCTACAAAAAATTCGAATTTCTTCTCAAAATGAAACCAAAATGAACTCAAAATGAATTATTTATATTTTTGCCACATTTTTAAACAAAATAAACAAGTTAAAAGTCTATTTAACATTATTTAATAGTTTAAATTGCAAAAATACTTTCCGAAGTGGGAAAATTTTCCCGCCAAAAATTTTTAAGGTTGACAAATTTTAAATTTGAGAGTCCGTAAGATTTGTTTTATAGAATTCAATTTAATCCAAGTGAATTCCCAATATTCCAATCATTTACACTTAAAATGCGTTCAAATCACTATTTTATTAAGTAAATATTCACTATCTCCAATCTTGTCTTGCACTGTATTTTTCAAATAAAATTTCATTTATTTTTATTTTCCATTTCTGCTCATTCTTTGTTTTCCCAAATGCAATGAATGAAACATTTTCAATTTACCGTTTAATATTACATTGAAGATGAAAAAAAGGAAGAGAAGAAGAATTTTTATCGTGGCTGCTGCTTTAAAGAAATTTTTCTTCTCATTCCAGAGATTCTCAAAATGTTCTTGTCTCATGGCATCTCTTTAAATGAGAGATTCCAGAATGTACACATAAGCAAATATGTATGCATCGTCTCACATATACATTATATATATGTCATGTTTTCCTAAAAGGTTATCAATAAAATATTTTTTCAATTTATAAACTCTCGACAAGCATCGATGCTCTCAATATTTATATTATAATATTTTTTATTCTCGTTCCCTTTCAGTACAAAATTCGATTGCTTCGCGTAAAGTGTTGAGTTAAAGTTAAGTTTATTGATTTTCGCTTTTCATATTTTTGAGCTTCAAAAAAAATTTATTTCCCGACGACGACAACGAAGAACACAAAGGGTAAATAAAAAGACAGCGACTTGCAGAGACTTTTTTTCTTCATCCTTCGCATCTTCTTCTCATATTATTCGAGTCTCGAGTAATAGAAAATAAATCAGATTTCTTTGTATGAAGGAGCAAGAAAAAAGCGACATAAAAGATGATTTATTACGATGAGAGACATGCTGTACACCAAGAAGGGTGCCTGTCCTTGAGCTGTAGTGGCAAATTTATTGCCTTTATTGAGCTATTGTTTTATGTTTTCACATTTTTCTCACTTAAAAATTATCTTAATTGTAAGTTCAATGAATCTCCCGAGTGATGTAGGATTTTTTGAGATTTTTAGTGGTGACTTGATGAAATTTTAAATATATTTGAAGAAGATAGTAAAGTGTCTTATACTATATCAGTAGCTAGTGCCTTACGACAGTCATAAAATCATTTATTAGCCAAGAAATTTTTTGTGAAAGTCATTGTTATTGTGTTTTGATCAGGGTTGATTCTTTAATATTCAAGATAACAGTGACAACAATGACTAGCATTTATTATAAGTATAATTGTATAGTTTTAAAAACCCGAGCAGCAAAGTCTTCAGGACGCTGGCATGTCACTGTGCTTATATTGCAGCAACAGAGCGACTTGACAGTATCCTGGTGACACTCTTTCAAGTATCTGACCTCGAAAAAAGTGATTTGCTTCATATTAAAATTCGAGTTAATCGTTCTCCAGTTATTTACCTTAAAGCTAACCTCAAAAAATCTCACGCATCACTCGGAACAAAAAAAAAATTCAAAACAAAAATAAAACGTAAAATCATTCTCAAACTGATAGTGGAACAAGCAGTAATTCTCACACTGATTCTCACAATCTTATCAATGATGGCTCTGGCATTGTTTGTTGGTTCAAGTTTACACGACCGAATGTACATCTTGCCCTGGATGTGGACTAAATATTCACTTGTCTTTCTTCAAATAATACGATTTATTTATCTCGTGATTGAACTTGCTGGAACTGAGAAAAATCCTGCGGGAATTTCGCCTATTTTTGAGTTGCTGTTTTTAGGTAAGGATGGGGAAATGATTCTTGGAATTAATTTTCATCTCAGTTCTTGTCTAATTTAATTAAACGTTGGATTGAATGGAGGTTTTGGCGTTATCCTTGTTTCAAATTGTGTTTCAAGTGATAGGAATATTGTATTGAGAAAAAGCCGTGAAATTCTCATCCTAAGACTGTAAAAGAATAAGATTTTTTGTTAATTACAGAATTGTCGAGTACAGATAGTGATATTTTAGACATGCTGACTGAAAATTTTGTGATTCTGATAAGATTTTATCACTTTTTGTTGGCAGGTTAACTTAAAAATTATAATTATTAAATTTTTCAAATATCTTCTTTGATTTTGAGTTGTTGAATTTATTTGCTACACTCTTGCCACTTTTTTCATTCAACAGAAGTTCATAACTTTCACAAACTTTTTCCATATTTCCCAAAAACCAAGAAAAACTTTTTGAGGTGAGGAAAATTTTCAAACAAAAAAGTTTGAATATTAAACAACCGTTAAATCTGTTCATTTCATAATTTTTCTCATGATTCTAATGAATATCGACAGATGAGAAAATTTTAAACAAGGAAATGCGCCTTTATCTCCACCAAATCAATAAAAAAGCAATTTATTCTAATTTTACTTCTCCATCCATAATTTTTATCTTCATATTTTTCATTTCAGGCTACAACGTCTTCGCACTTAGCATAATACTTGAACTTATTGAGGAAATTGAGCCGTATACATTTAAGAGATTTCAGTACTTGAGGGTATAAGACACGCATACACGCAAACAGTTCTGCTGTACATCCCTCCGCTCCATATCTTCATGCTAATGTATCATCGTGCTAGTACAAGGATATTCCCATGTCTTAAGACACAAGGAAGGAAATACATCAAGTAAAAAAAATTCAGTTCACTGATAACGTAATGTTCACTCACTTCCATTACATGAATTTAAGAGGTGCTTAAAAATTAGGTCATAAGGAAGGAAATTGGCAAGACTTGCAATGTAATACGCAGAAAAAAATTTACATTTTAATATCAATGAATGAAATTTATTTTGATTACATTTTTTCTCTCCCTGCTCTTCCTCCTGCCCTCGTACCTCGCTGCATTAAATTTAATATTTTTGCAATTCAAATTTTCATTTTATTTTCTTGTTTTCCTTGTGCCGCGTTCCTGCTTTCCATTCTCATTTATATTTGAGTGATTGCATTATAAATTATATTGTGTGAAATGGAAATTATATCATCAATCTAGCGAACATCATATCATTTTTTTCTGTTATTTCATTTGAGGATGTATTGTAGATATTTTGTTGTGAGTTTTAAAATCATGATTTTCAGTTTAAATAGATTTAATTGAGTTAATGAATAATAAAGCATGTTTGAGTTATTTATTAATAATGGATTGTTTTTGAACTGAGCAAAGAGCTCCAACAAGTTAGGTTTTGAATTTGTTTTAAATATTAGATCTTCAACCATTTTTGATTCGAAAATCCAGATGGTGGAATTCAATTTCGACAGACTTTCCGAAATCTAGGGGTATTAAAATATGCACATTCGAAAATTTCAAATTTTCATGTTATGATTAAAAATCATTAATCAACAAACAGAACTAGTAAATTTACACGCAACCATGAATTATTATTCGAACTTTTCGAAAAAGGGGTTTTGAATTTCGAATTTTTCATGACAGACAGACAAGAATAAACAATTTTTGAAAGTTTGCTAAAAAACTTTAAAGGTCACAATTCTTGAATTTCCTCGATCAGCGAAAATCCTTAAATCTTATCCGAACCAATTTTATTCACCATCCAGTTGATTTTAAAATTCAGTAAATTATGTGATTGATGAGTTAATCAAGTGAGAAAATAATGGGAGCATTGATACTGAACATTAATAAACTTAATTAACATTATTTTTCAATTTAAATTATTTTTTTAAAAACATCAATTCGTGTAATTACGTTTGGTATAAAAATTATGACGGCACTTGGCATTCTCGTGTAATTTTTGATATGATATTGTGAAAATTGCTGTGTAATTCAATTGTTGGATGGAAGATTTTTGGAGGTTGAACTGACCCCAAATGATTCTGCGTCCAGTTTCAGGCCTATCAAAGGATTACTCTAAAACTTTAAAAATAAATCTCTTACATAATAAAGTAAAATTAAGTTTTAACTTTTTCTAGGTTAGGCAAAATACACGAAAAACACTAAAAACCAGCGCCTTTACATCTTCATTTCTATCAAATCTGCTGTAAAACCTAACTCAAACTTGATTAAAACAAAGAAAAATGATTTATTTCCTTTATTTCACGAAATTAAATTTTCCTCTTGACTTTTTGATCTTTTTTGTGTCGTGTATTTTTCATCATCATAAAAGTGATTATTAAGGTAAAGGATGTAGTTAAAGCATCAACGAGGCGTTAATAACATGCACACGGATGGTGTTTATATGCGCAAATGATACTTCAACGACCTATGAATTGTCGCTTATCTCTTTTGGTAAGATTATTGCTGCATATGGAGGGAATTTTCACTATTTTTTGGAATTACTGTGAAAAAGAGATGCTATAGACTGGAATGATGAGATAAGTGGCTGATTTAATAGGTTTAAAGTTTCTTTTGATTCAATTGTCACGAGTTGTTAAAGAATTATTTTATTCTGTTTCAAAAATTATCTATCGGATAATTGAAATTTCTCACTTCGAATAGAACATTCGAATTTTTTTAAACTATGTGGAGTAATACAGACCAACCATAGCATAAACCTTCTTTAAAAAGTGGCAAAAGTTTAATCTAAGAAGTTTAAAGCTTCTCAGTTCCACAAATCCTCAATTTATCAACATTTAAACTGATTCAGCTTGGTCGGATAATCGAAAATTTTCAAACAATCAGCATGAGTCTTTAAAAATTAGTTAAGAATACCAATCTTACCTTGAATTATCAACAAGATGAAATGTAAAGAATAAAGTATATGAAAACCTCTTCCATTATTTCACTCAGATATCGATTTTCGCTTAAGGAATCGAACTGAAATTGATAAAGTCATTTCATAAAGCATGGCAATATAGTTCCAAAAAAACCTATTTCCTACAACACAGATAATAGAATCCCTCATTCATTCTATGCAAACATTTTTTTACTGTGCCATTCTTTCAAAATCTTATTTTGTGTACTTCTTTTCCTTTTATCATCAACGATAAATTTAACGAGGATGTAAAAATATAAAGTTGGAATGAAATGACTTATTGTTATAGCCATGTGATGGCGTGAATTATCGGTAAATTATTTTATCCAAATTGAGGTAATGATGGCAGTTTTCGAGTCGTAAATGCTTCCTAAATTGTAAATTGGTTGAACTAAACGATAGCACACCTTCGTTCACAAATTTCGATTACAGTCATTTTTTGAATTTTTCAACGGTTATTTTATTTTTGAATTTTCAACTTTGTTTACATTATGTAAAAAAAAATTGCGCATAAAAATCAAGTTAAATTAAGCTATGAATATCTAGGCGATTCTCCAGCGGAAGATCAGCCAAAAATCACTTTCAAATTGATTTTTCTTTAAATTTTCCCACTAAAGCATGTTTGTTCTTAATTAAAACAGATGTATTTTTAAAAAAATTCTATCCCTTAAAGTCATTTAGAAATCGGGCAATTCTCCAGGTAAGTTTTTCAAAAAATCATCCGGAGAATCAAATGAACGTTAATGGAGAAGAACGTCCACTTGAAAAACGTTCATTTCGAAATTAAATTTGTTTAACCGATTTTTACAAAACATGCGTTCTTTTAGAAAAATATTTTCCACATTAAAATCACAAAGTTTTAATATTTTAATTGAATTCACTCAATTGTTGTTTTTCTCGTACCATTTTTCTCGTACCTTATTTATAAGGTACCCATAATTATTGCCCATAAGGGCAATTCTTTGGATGACTTTTGGAAAATTTTCAGCAAAAAATCGAAATTTTATTGATTTTTCCCATCAGAGACACTGATTTTTTGATTCTTATCGATGTAAAAATCTAAAATGAACACTACTTTTGATATCATGCACTTCTAATCGCTATATTAATTAAGTTATTTGGATTCTTCAGACAATAACTCGATGACAGAAATCGGAATTTTCAATTTTCATCATCCGAAGAATCGAAAATTAGAGAAAACTATTGATATCCACATTGAATAACTTTTACTGAGTTATAGATCAGGCAAAAATCTTTAATTGAGTTGCTTTTTCATATGCTGTAAATCATTAATTATTGAAATATTTCAATTCTTTGAAAAATTTCCTTGTGTCATCGAGTTATAAAAAAGCTTTTTTTTGTCTTCATCCGTGAAAAAATACAAAATTTTCAAACATATTTTTTCAATTTTTCACTTAATTTGGGTGAGTTGTAACATTTCAATAGATCACTTGTAAAGATTTAATTATGCTTAATGATCTACGAAAATTCAGGCTGATTATTCCTTCGTAGTAATATGAAATTAAAGAAAACATTTTATTGACACAAAACTCATTGACATTGGATTATGAAAGCTCATTTTTTTCAAATTCCACTCATCCAAAGAATTGCCCATAAGGAGAATCGAAAATTGAAGAAAAGTAAACACTCGTTTTTTATTATGATTATGCAGAAATGTAGTTTTTGAGCTGATCTATCTAACCATAATCATATCACACTCCAATAATTACTATTTAAAGAGAATTTTTGATTCTTCGGTGGATTTTTTTGCTTACAGTAAAAAAATTAAGCTTTTATTTTTGCAAATCCATGAAAAAAATGCAAAGCAAATATTTCATAAAAATTAAATTTTAGTCTTAATTTAACACTTCATGGTTGAATTATTGTTGATTCAGTAAGAATCAATCGTAATAAACAGTTTAAAGTTGCTTTAAGCAATCAAAACAAAGAAATTGACAAGATATTTACAAAAAAAAAATTGAAAGTAAACAGTAAATGACTTTGGATTATAAAAGCTCTTTTTTCAAAAACTCAACTCACCTGGAGAGTTGCCCAATCATTAATTAGCTAAAATCATTAGTTTTTTCAATTTGTTTAAGCGTTGCTCGGCAATCAAAAATGGAATTCAATTACGAAGAATCAAAAAATTACTATCAAAGAAATATTTTTATTACACTTAATACATACTAAATGGTAGATCGTCTTTAGTTTTATCATATTTAAATAACACATCTTTGATTTAATGCTTTAAGAGAAAAATGGATTCTTTGAACAAAATTCAATGTTGCCGAGTAACGCAAACGCTTTATAGGGGAAAACCTGCTCAACGAAAAATTTAAAATTTAAAAAACCGTTAGATCTTAAAACTTTCAGTAGTTTATTTGGCACAAAAATGTTAATGATCTAAACTTTATCTTATAATAATCATTAAAATGCATATAAATTCCTACAATTAAACATAGAACCGGAAAAAATCGTTTGAAATAAATATTTTTTAATGGTTTTCTCAAATTTGAAGTGTCAAGTAAAAGAAGAATTACAATTCACTTTTGAAAAATTCCATTCTTCTGGAGAATCGCCCATCAGCAACAAGTTTGTGTTAAAAAATTAAGAAAAAAGCAGATTTTAAAGCATTATTTTCGCAAAAGATTAAATTAATTATGCCTTTAAATACAAGAGACTTAATTGAAGCCATTTCAATTGTTGCTGACAATAATAATATTCGTGTAACAATTAAATCAAGTCTAAAAGCTTCATGTACAACAGCTGTGACTACTTTCGCCGGAGGAATGGTGAATTAATTAAGAAAATTTGAAATTCTAAGTATTAATTTGTAATGAATAAATTAATTACAGTTTTTTGGACCTTTGGGAATTCCGTTCGGTGCTACGATTGGTGGATTACTTGCTTTTGCTAGAACAGGTAATTTCTTTGCTGTATGTATATAAAAATAAAGAAGTCTATGGATTAAAGTGAATCGTAAGATTTAAATTTGTATGAGAAAATTAAACCTCCCGATTTATTTAAATCCAAGAGCTTTAAAGTATCTTAGACGTATCTGAACAAGCAATTTAATTTTTAGAAAAGTTCAAGTCAGTCGGAAGTATTATCCGTAATGAATTATCAGCTGAACAGAAGAGAAAGCTTTGTCAGCACATTATTGATGCATTCAAGTCAGTTCGTTCTGATGAAATTGCTACGCTAATTTGTATGATTAATCAACCCGGCCAAATTCAAGCTACTGTCATTAAGAAAACTGTTCAATTTTTTATAGAAGAGATGCATATGAATGTAATCAATTAAGTTGATAAGTTAAATAACATGTAAATGCAAAAGCATCATTGTTGCAAATAAAAGATTTCTTGAGATTTTGGATTAAGAAAATTTATGTTAAGAAAACTTTAATTGAAACGCATGCTTCTCGTAGGCATTTAAATACTGAGGGCTTCTCCCATTCTTCAATATTATTCAAAAATCTCTTCATCGTGAATTATGGAATTGGGGATTTCCCCAATTGAAAATTAGCATTAAAAGCTTCGTTATATTATACGGGTTATGAAAGATCATTAAAGCAGTCTTATCTATTTGGATTGATAGCGTTCGTAGCTACACTGTTTGCTTATGATTATTAAATCAGTTCTGTTTTAATCGTTTTGTTGAACGGATTCTTACAAAATGCTGAAATTAATTATAACTCTTGAATTGTTGACTTTTATTGTTTGTTCTGAGAACTATAACAATCAGTGTGGTAATCAAAATTCTGGAATTGACGTTGCATTTATTCGATTAGGAAAATATAGTAAGTTTATTTGAAAAATCTTCAATTTTTTACTAATTATTTAAGTAATTAGGAGGAGATGATGATGATGGTTTTGAGTATCAAAAAAGCTACTTTTTATCTCGATATTTAAAGGCCGATTGGGGTCAAGCTAAAGCAATTTGCAAAGCATTTAACCTTGAATTAGCATCATTTGAGACAATCACAGAAGCTCATAATTTCCTGCACATGTGTGAGAAAAGTAGTGATGTCCCATCTTCTGGAAAAATCTTCTATCTGACTGATGGAATGACAGTAGCTCCTAGATCATCAAAGAAAGACAATTGGTTTTGGACGAATTCTGGTCAGAAAATATCATATGATCTTCCTTGGACTGGTGTTCAGCCTGATTTCAATCGTGAAATTGAATATTGTTTAACAGTTGGAAGAGTTGGAGGGAATGACACTTTAGGCTTTAATGATTATACGTGCGTTGGTGGTGTGATATATTTTATATGCCAAAAAGTTGATTTATATCCATTAAAGTTCAAAGGTTTTAAATAAATCTACAAGAAATTCAAATTAATCCATTCACGTCGTTCACTTATGACGTTCAAAATTAACAGTTATTTTTGGATGTCCAGGAATTTCTATTGTTTTTTTCTCGTTGACCCCCCACCCCGGACGTCATAAGTGAACGGCCCCATACTTTATAAAGACTTTGTACAGCAAAAATTCCCATCAAATCCAGAAACGATAAAATTTTATTTTATTTCAAATTATCACCGACCTCGTTACAAAATTTATTAAATTCAATCAATCAGTAAGCAGCAAGAAAATCAATAAGTACCTCACATTTTCAATTTAACGATCTTGCTTTAAATTACCCCCAAAAAGAGCCAAAGAATCATGTTTTTACAACTTTTTACCATCCTTAAAAAAATTTTTGGTTTATAGGATGAATAAACATGTTTCAATTGCGGCAATAGAAAAGAAATACAGGAGCGAGAAATTGGAATAAAAAAAAAAGACGAATTTTGATGAAAATGGCAAAAAAAGTCTTGAACATGAAACTTTCTTGCAAGTGCGGTTCAAAAAAGGAAGTCCTGAAAATATCGTAAAACATGTATTTTAGTTGCAGTAAATATGAAAAAGTCCTGGACAAGAAGGAAGCAAAACAGATCCTCAGAGAGAGCTCAGTTTGACCTCTTTTCTATCCTGAAAGAGTTGAGAATGCTTTTAGGAAGTTGAGTTCGAAGAGCATTTTACACGGTACAACCTAAGATGCAATAAGGACGTTGCACTGTTGAGAAAACATCAACTGTCGTTTAATATTTAAATTGTATTTACAAGTATGATAAGTTGTTTTCTCTTTGTGTAATTGTCAGCCCTTTCGGTTGAGGGTCATAGGACCGACCGAAATTTCGATCCCATTCAAAGAACTATATACATTCTGATTCCAAACCCAACATAAACCAAGAACAAAACATTTTGGATACTTAACATCGACATTAGTCAAGGTTATGCGTTAGTTTAGAGATCATCTTTATATTTAAGAGGCTAGGCTCGTAAACATGCAAACATCTTATCCTACAAACCAAAAGATAGACAGTCAAACGATCCCAACTGCAGTACTCATACTCAAACTCCTTAAAAATCTCAATAATTGCGCTAAAAATACGAGACTAAGATGAAGGAAAGGGAATTTCACATTATAAATATTGAGTCGCATGCAATACACAGAACAGTGTAAAGCAAATGTTTATTCATTGTAAATTTATGTTTCATAAACACTGTATATTTACGATTTTATGCTGTGTGTGACTTGAGTGTTCAGTAGTGCCTTTTTTTATGCACACAGCTTCTGCTTTTGCTGTTAAATATATTTTATTATGTCATATATGCGAGATCGAGACAGAAAAGAAATTTATTTTTATAGAACTCGGGGAAAAAAAAGATGAAAATGTAAAATTTTTATCATCATTTGACGAATTTAAAGTGTCACTTTTTGATGCATTTTCCATCTCCTAAGCTACAAATTGTGAATATATTTTTTTAAAAAATAAAATGAAAATGTATGTCAAAGAGCTCCCAGAGATACATTTGTAATGTTTATTTCTTCCTCGCAATCTATCTGTTGCAACCTAAAGCTTATTTACGTAAGCAATAAGGAAAAACTTGTAGAGAAGAAAAGTTGCTATCTTGATTTAGTGAATAGAACGCAAAATAATGGATTGGGTTCGTGACTTGTGTTATCAGAGTGGGATTTATAAAGTTTGGATAGAGTTGGTGAACTTTCAAGGCTGTAAATTGGGAAATAGTTCGATTGCTTGTTGTTTTATGGATCTAGGTTGAGTTAAAGTGTATTTTATGAACTAAACTTTTGAAATTAAAGCTTTATGAACAAAAGTTAATGACAACTGCAGTCTGTCTAATCCACAGTTGCCCAGAGGCTCAGTTAAGGCTTGATCTCGTACATTTGGCAGTTGAGGTATCTAAACTATCGAAAAAGAAGATATTTGGAAATGGCTGGATTTGAGCTGACGACATTCTGCATATAAACCTTTAGCCAGAAACCTTACCTTTTCGAACAGCAAGGACGTTGAATATGTTAGATGCCGTTTCAAAGTCAAAAAAGAAATCAAGCTACGGATCAGCACTAACCCCTTCATACCAAGAATTCTAGATGCATATCATCTAAAGAATTTATCCATGAATTAACTACAATCCAGTTCACTTGTTGCAAGCCCTTTAGATTAATACCTATTAAAAACTTCTAAACTGCATATCCAACAGAGAAGCTTACAGCAACTCCAAACGAAACCCCTTTAGTGCTCAAACTCTTCAAGCTGCACTAAAATTACAAAACTTCTTTGCATTTTAAAAAACAAACTCATAAATAAGTAGCATTCATATCATGAAAGAAGCATCACGAGGAGCTTAAGGAGGCAAAAATTTAATTTCCTTAATGGAACTCAGAATACTGGGGGTTCTCGATTTGGAATGGGGGGGTTTTGTTCCAGAAAAATCCTGATTAAATCGAATCATTTACTTTTTGTATGAAAAATGTCTGTTACAAAAAAATATTTTGAATATTCTATTCATTAATTTTCGTTACTCAAATCGAGGACCCCCAGTACAGGAAAAAAATGACTGTTTTATGAAAATGTAGCAATTGATTGATTTGATGCTCTTTCCGTTCTTTATCTCTCCCACTTGACTCTGTGTGCATCAATTTGGAAAATTGTACTATTTCAATGTCCATAAATCTGATTATTAATTCATGTTCCATAAATTATCTCATTTGAATGTTAAACCTTAATCAGCTTATTATTTATGCTGGAAAATCATTTTGTAATCATATTATCTGCAATATTTTTTATTTAAGGTGCATATTGAATTGTAATGGGAAGTTAATTTGGTTGATATTGGGTGTTGTTGTTGTCTGTCTGGTAGATCCTTAAACTTTATGATTTATAAAGTAGCTTGCACAAACTTATAGGTATCTACATGTTGTATGTCGTTGTTTGAATTGGATGGAATGAGCATTGCACCTGACTAAATGTCAAATGACTCAAACCTTGCTGCGCTCCAGCCTCTGAACTTATCCAACCTTATTCAGTTTCTCCCAGTGTCATCAACTCATTCCATTTGCCACACACCAGAAATTGATGAATCATCGAGATTAAAAATTTCGTGTTTCATAAATGTGCGAAAAAAAAAGTTGTTCATTTTATTCCACCTATGGACCTTAACGTATTCTCATTACTCGTGTTAAAAAATTTATCACATTTTTTACATCACCGAGTTTTTCACCTCAACAATAATAATGATCATAATAATAATGATGATAATCATCCATTCATCCTTCTCCCCTCTCTTGTACATTCTCTTATGGATTGTAACATAAATAAGCACACGCAAAAACCCAACTGAAAAATCTGAATAAATTAAAAAAGCTGAGGTCAGTGAATAACCAGTAATACATGAATTATAGCAACAACAACAAGTATTAAGCATCACAAGGGAGAAAGAGCAAAAATTCAACTTCAGCCATTTTTGGCATTATCTCGCGTCAGTCGAATGGTTGGCATAATTTATTTTTACATACACAACAAAAAAAGAACGTGGCAGTGCTGTAAATGCTGAAAAAAAATTAAATTACAATTATTTACGCGTAGAGATTTAAAGCATGTTGAAGGGTAGATGGAATAAGTTTGTTACCGTTACATTGTTGCTTATACACAGCAAATGAATTTATAGCAATCTACATAAAAGCAGACTCTCCCGTGTTTGCAATTTAATGAATGCCAATTTATTTGTAGTTACTTTTTTCTGCATTTAACTCGCGGGATTCGTTTTGGTATTGATTTAATTGGATGAGTTGAATTTGTTTACTATTGAGATTTCTGGGAAATCAAGGCTGCATTCAATATTGTATCGTGTTTGTTTGCAGTTTGCTGAGTAATGCATGAGAATCTGAAAAGTATGATTAAATCGGGGAATTTTTTTTAAAACGTGGTTTTAAGAATAAGCAATTGGAGGTTCCGGATAATTTTCTGATTTATTTTGTCCAGAAACGAGGCGATGA